CACCCCCGCGAGTTGACGCTTTGATTGCAAAGCACTGGGGCAGGCTGCCCGGGGAAGTGATGCAGACACCATCCCTGGAAGTCTTGAAAACAACCTCTGGATACGGCACTTGAGGCCGTGGGTGAACGTGGGTGGATGGTTGGACTTGATGATCTTAAGGATGTTTTTCCAACCTTAATGATTCTGTGATACATTGGTGTTCGCAGTGTCACTGGTATTCATGGCCTGCCCCATGGGTACAGAGAGTAAATAGGGCAATTACTGGATGCTGAGCTGTGAAAGTGCTTTTCAGCCCACACACGTGTTTGTTTTGGAAGGGCTCCCTTCTAGTTTCTCACAGGTGTCTCTTGATTTGTTTAGAGGTGGTTACGAGTCTGCTTCCAAGCGCTTCAACCCAGCTGATGTGGAGGTGGATGTGGCTGGAAGATCCTTCCTGGTCACTGGAGCAAACAGTGGCATTGGCAAGGCCACGGCCAAGGAGATAGCGAGGAGAGGTGAGCAGGGCTGCTGTGGGGCTCCCAGGAGGCTTACAGAGAAGATGGAAGGCAGGTTTGGCCTTCCAGCACTTACACACAAACACAAATCCCTGGGATGTGGTATCATTTCACAGGGGTCTTAGTGTGAGTTGGAGGTTTAAGCACAATCAGTGCAGTGAAAACTGGGATAAGGAAACCAAATTGGCAGAGAGGACGTGCACATTGTTTTTCAAGTGCATGTTTACCAAAACTATCTGTGTTATACTGGCATCTAAGGATGTTGGTGACTGATCAGTGTCTGTTTAAGGTTAATTCGGTACAAGTAGCAGCCTGGCTGAATTTGAACTGAGGAATCTGCAAATCTGTCATATGATGAAAGAAAACAATTGTCTTTACAAAAATGAGATGGAAGAGCATAAAAAACCCGAATGTAGTTGCTCTTGATCTTAATGATAACATCCTGGAGTTTGTGCCCTTTGGCTGATTACATGTAATTATGTTTTTATGTTGCTATCTGTACACAAGGACTTGGTGTAAACTGGGCCTAGCTGCTGCTGAAGGATAAACCTAATCCCTTGCAGAATTGACAAAGTAATTCCTGTTGTGCAAGAGTGACAGGAGTTTTGGCATGTAGAATGAAGGGGAGGAGCTTGTGGCTCTTTTCTCTCTTTGTTGTGCTTAGGTTTTGTAACCATCTTATGAAGGAAGGTGGCGACTCAGTTAAACAAAACTAATTCAAAACTGTTAGCATCAAAGAGTCTTTGAGTTTAAGATCTTCATCAGTGCCAACATGTGATTGATTTCAGGTTCCTACCACTGCTATTGTACATAATCACTTTATGAAAGTACTGCTTTGTCAGGTGACTGTTCTGCTCACAAATGGACATCTCTACCAGGTTTTGCAAGTTGGAAAGCTGGCTGGATCTCTATGGGATTTGGTCATCATGTTTAGCAGAACAACCTTGGGCTCAGACTGTGTGTCTGATATGGGCATTGCTGTTCACATGAAGTTAAAATGACTTCCCGGTCCCATCCTTGAACATCTCACTTTGAAACTCTGTGTCAGCTGTTGGGGCTCAGGCTTCTAGTTGAATCTCTTCATGTACTCCATGATAAGTGAATAAGGAATTCTAGCTCAGCAGAGGAATAATCAGGCTCTGTTGGCTTTACCTTCAAGCACTCAGATGTTTCTAACTGACAATTGCTATAGTCTGAGTTCAGCTTTTCTCTGAATCGGTGTCTTATGGATATTTGGATTTGGGCTTTCCTCTATGTCTTGTGAACTGCACTTCCAGTGTGACCGTGTTCACAGGGGTTTTTGAATGAGGCAAGAGACGAGAATGTTGACTCCATGTTCAGAAGGCTTGATTTAATATTTTATTATATATATATTACATTATAACTATACTAAAAAGAAAAAGAAGGATGAACTTTCCTCAGAACCTAGCTAAGCTAAGAATAGAAAAGAAAGGAATGATAGCAAAAGCTAGCTCTCTCGGACTCTGTCTGAGATAGCTCAGTCCTTGATTGGCCATTAATTATAAACACTCAAGATGGCCCAGTCAAAAATCTACCTGTTGCATTCCATAGCAGCAGATAACCATTGTTTACATTCTTTTTCTAAGACCTCAGCTTCCCAGAAGAGAAAATCCCAAAGAAAGGATTTTTAGTGAAAAAGATGTCTGTGGCACTTCCAGCTTGATACAGTCTTCTCCCAACTAATCTGACTATTCCCATGTGTTACATTCAAATAGTTTCAGTCTTTACCAAACAAAATACATTTAAATTCATTTCCTAATGTGTCATTCACACCTAAACTTCCCCCATCTCCTGTTGCTCAGTGGAAAAATCTCTCCTGTGGACAAAAGGTTTCATTATCAGACCCCAGACTGGGCTGTGCAGTGTGTGACTGTATCATCCAAAGGTAGACTTGGTGTTCTGCCTTTGGGTTCTGGGCACTAAAAAACATGACCCGACACAGTTGTTGTTTCTATTATGGATTAATTATGTTTCTATTAGGGATTAATTCTTAGAGCTTTCTAGAGGTGGACTGCTAGCACTCCCTAAAACACTTTTTAAAACAGGCAAAAGTAAGGCATAAGGAGCATAAGTATTCCTAGGACTGAAATTAACACATAACTTGTAACAATCAGAGAATATGTGATGCAAAAAAAACCCAAAACGTTGCCTAGTTGTACTTTTGTCTTGTGTTTGAAGGCTTTCTTTAATATGATTAAGTGATGAGATTGTGGTAAGTATCCAGGTCTCTGAGAAGAGCCTTGCCTTGTGTCTCCTTTCATGGAAAAACAGGTTGGAAGAGACCTCTAGAGGTCACCTTGTCCAGCATCTCACTTGGAGCAGGGCTGTTGGCAGCAGTAGATCAAACCAGTCATTGCTGTGTCTCGCTGCTTGATACCCCAAGGATGCAAATTATGCATCCTCTTGAGAAAGCCTGTCTATGGAGAAGAAACCTACTGAAAATTATTTTTCTGATGAAAAATAATTCAGATGACCTGAGCCTCCCAAGCTGCATTTGAGGCCATGGTCCTCCTTGTATTATCTCCCACTGTTGAGAATTCTGATATCTGGCACTTTTATTTCCTTTCAGCAGAGCAATTCTAGTCACTTGTATTGTTCAAGCTCTTTACTGAACTTCCTAAAACATATATTAAAAAAAAACATCTATGGTGCAGATGCCTTAGCTCCAATTTCCCCTTTATCTCTGGTGTTTCACCCACTAAACATAATGTACAGACTTGACAGAAATGGTTTGAGCACTGTACTTAGAGTGCAGTGGCTTTTTCCTTGCCTGATGACCCTGCCTGCCTTCACAGGAACGAAAGCCAAGCAGAAATATTCCAGCATTTTTCCTATATCCAGTATCTCACCTAATTAAAATGCTGATGTCTCACCCAAATGCAGTTAGTAATTAATTATCAAATGCTTTTCTTGTTGCAATCCACCAGGGGGCACGGTTCATCTGGTTTGCCGAAATAAGGAACGGGCTGAAATTGCCAAAGAGGAAATAGTGACGGAAACGGGCAATCAGGTGAGTTGTTTTTTAGTCTTTTGTTTACTTTTAGAAAGGTTGTTAATATTAAAGACCCCAGAGGCCATGAGATACTCTTCCAGCATCTTGATGTTGTGTTTTTAATAGTATTTTCATACAGACATGGAAACATCTAGCAGTTTATAATTCAAATGATTTGAAGTGATTAACTTCAAACCATTTGAATCACCTAACTTCATTAGGTGATGTATTCTGTGATTAGTAACATCATCAGCAGCATGCTGTTTTATCTAATGTTTGTTTGTTGATTTTCTTTTTGATGTCCTACTTACTATTCCTAACTATGTGTCTCAGGCTTTTAAAAGTTAATGCATTGCAACAGTATTGCAACAACATTTATGAGTCTACAGCATTGGAGCTGAAGGTTTTATGTGTCTGAATAACATGCTCTTGATTTGCTAAGGTTGGCTGCTCTGTGAAGTCCTGTGTATGGTACTAATTCCGTGCTCTACATGCCTTTTCATTTCCTTTTCTTATAGTACCTCTTCCTTCCCTCTGTTAGACATTCTTTTTGTTTCTGTGTACATCACTGTACAGTCCACCTCTATATTTGTCACTGTTGCTTTCATTAGTTGTTCAGGAGGATGTGCTTATGGAGTTCACTAGTCATTATGTTTCTTACTTGGTGCCCTGGTTTTGGCTGGGATAGAGTTAATCTCCCTTCCAGCAGTTCCACTGGTGCTATGCTTTGGATTTGTGACCAAACCAGTGTTGACAAGCCACAGTTTAGTTATTGCTGAATGGTGCTCACACAGCCTGAAAGCCTGTTCTTATTCTCACACTGCCCCACCAGGTGAGCAGGCGAGGATGCACAAAAAGATGGGAGGGGACACACTGGAAC